TGGTCAATTCACAGCTTTACTCACGTACAAATCAAAGTCGTAATGTCTTTAAAAACGTGGACTCCAAATGTTACCGCGAAGATAATTGGTTCGAAAAGCAAGACGTGCAACCATAACGTTTGAGTACTTTCTCGAAGTTCTTTTTCTTGAAGTTACTTTTATCTCGTCCAGCTCGAGAGAAGCAATTTTTTTGTATCAAGAAAAGAAAAAGACATAATTCCCATCGCACTAACCTTGATGGCGATAGTTTTGGTCCACGCGGACGACTTGGTCGATCTGGCGTCGTTGGTCACGCGTATACTAAAAGTACGACCTGCGCAATCACTGACCAACTGATACTTGCACGGTCCCTTGAAGCTGTAGAATTTACCGTCAAAGGTGCGATAGTGCGGGTCTCCGAAAACCGTGCAGACCCCGTCACCTGAAAGAGATGTTCGTCGAGTGTGAATGTCGAGTTGCCGCGGTCGCGGCGTATTGCGCACGTGAGCGCACTTACTCTCGACGCATCGCGCACAGCATTGATCCTTCGGACGCTCCAGCTTCGTGTTCGGCGGGCAAGGTTCGTTTATTACCGGGCACATAGGCATCGCGCAGCGCACTTTGCCCTGTTTGCAGGCGCACGCCTTGCAGGAATCAAGCTTCCATGATTCGCCATCCTGCCTAGGACAAAAAAGAACGTTTAAACCGGAACAGGATGGGATATCCCATGGAGTAACTCGCTAGCTTCTGCTCGTGGGATTTGGCGCGTCGAAAAATTGCCGACTATACGTCCAAGAGTTTCCACTATCGCGCGTGCGTTGATACTCGCCTCGCGAACTTTTCCATTGTAAATGCAAGAGGTTTTGCTCTCCTCGATGATCGGGCATTGCGGGCAACAGCGACCGTGTGTCTGATATTCCCTGGGACACTCCAGCACTGGGCAGGTCTCCTTCGTGCACGAGACCGATGAATTGGTGCAGGTGCAATGTGTGCAGTGATCCGCGTAGAACTGTTTTCCCGAGGTATACAGCATGGTGCCGACCATGCAGGCGCCTTTCGGAGGTGGTAGAAATCTTCTGCTACCTGCATCACGAAAAGCGTCGTTTGATTAGGTCAGTCAAGGATTTGGAAAGAGAAAAAGGGAGAAAGACAGTTGAGAGAGAAAGATCGTTAGCTTTAGTCTGAAGCGACGCGCGAGAATAACTTTTTTCTTTTCATCCACAATAGTCAAAGTAAAAATATTAATTTCCGGGCCGATCCTAAACATTCTTATTATTTTGGTCTTTAAGTACAAATATTTAAACTTTTAACATATAGAGTATATGTATTTTTTATGTTAAAAGTTTAAATATTCGTATTTAAAGACTAAAATAAGAAGAATGTTGAGGATTAGGTACGTGTCCAAGCATTGATATCTACAAATTATTCTCTTATTACATTGTGTGCGAGAGAGAGAGAGAGAGAGAGAGAGAGAGAGAGAGAGAGAGAGAGAATTTCCTTTTCGCGCCATCCTTAATGCGGGTATGCGCGCCTTCGTTCTCATTTTACTAAAATGTAGAAACGGGTTTTCGAAAGTACGACATTTGTACGTTTTATGTTAATAGCGCACTTGCATTTGAAATGAAGCTTGTTTCTTGACGCGACAATTCATGGATTATATTTCCATTCATTACGGAGTCGGCGCTATGCAGTATTGTAACCATCGAGCGTTATATTTTATTGCGGCATTTTAAAGTCGCGACGCGAGATATTCAGTTAAATGGCAGCGCGTATTCTTCGACGGCTAGATGACAATCGTGGTGTTACGTGCGGCTGGTTTTTGCGCAATTGCGACATTGGAAAATAATCAGATTCGCATAAAACCGGTTCGCGCCTTTGGCGTACCGTAAGAGAGCCGGTATGACCTATAAATTCAAAGTGACTTTAATTGTTCGCGCGATCACCTGGAAAATGCTCCTCTTGTGAAAAATGTTGTCGCAAAATGAAACTCGGAGCGCTACTCATTTCATCGGCATCGAAGCGCTTACGCAACTAAACGCAATCCCGTATCTTTATATAATATTACACGCGCACAATTATCTACGTCGCGAGCTTCTACGTCGCGAAGAAATGGTCGTCAAGTATCGTCGAGTCGAAAAAGACGCTCGGGAAAATGAATCGATCGAAAGAACATGTAGATTTTTCATTCGTTGAACGATATCGGGAGTGAATAATTTCGGGGCGGCGACGCGATCTAAAATATAATGAAAATTATTCGAGTCTTTTCACACCTCGACAGTGCGGGCAGCATTCGCCAGAAACGTGAACGATCTTCGAGGCAGGACAATTGAGCGTCGGGCACGCTTGTTTCGCGCAGGTGAGCTGTCCGTTGTTGCACCTGCAGGTTACACAGGGATCTTCCGTCGTTGTCACCGATCTATCCGCCGTGACTTTCTGCCCGTTCACCAGGCATCCTGCAAAAGCGTTACGGGATATTCGCGAATATTCTCGCGTTTTTATTTCTACGCTCCTTCCGCTTCGCGGACGCGCGTTTCTTCGACCGTGAATCGAGCGTAACGTAGCGTCACGTTCAAACGTCCACGGTGTTACGTGATTCATCGAAGAAAAGCAAAAAAAGAAAGGAATGGCAGAAAACATTACAACATACGCATTATCGTCCGCTCATTTTTCGTCGGGGGAAGGCGGCGCGCGTTGTAATTTTCAATCATTATCGTTCCTCCCTCGTTATATCGGGGAACATTCCGGCCTTAATTGCGCGGCGGGATGCATTCAAGGGATCGTGAGAAATATTTGTGAGATTGGCGTGGGTAATTAGCAGCAGCATCAGAGAGTGAGGAAAGAAGAAAAATGTTACGTACCTGCGCAGACCGGACAGCATTGGCCAGGTGCGGCCGGGCTCGGATTTGAACAGGGCGTGTAACACCGTAGTGTTGATTTCGTGATGATGCCCGATTTGCAGGTGAATATTATACACGGATCCTTCCTGTCCGTCCATTCCGTGTCCGACTCGTGGTAGACGCCGTCCTGTATGCATCCTGCGATCCCACACGTGCGGTTAAGATTTTGCAAAGTCCACGCTTAGGATTTTGCACATATGCGGCTTAACAATAATTTGTCGTCGAATTATGGGACATCAGTTTTGTCTTATTATTTGTACGGTTATGAAATCAAATAATTAGGTCTTAATCATTTTTAACGCTAGAGTTTTAATCATTTGTACAAATTTGTCAATGATGCATTAAAACAAACTGCTGATACCAATGTAAACAACTAAGGAATATAAAAAGAAAATTTTTTGTGGTTTTTTTTTCATTTTATTGTGCGTTTTTTTTAATGCATTAATAAGCCAAGTTTGACCCGAAATTGGACTTTTACCTCAAACGCACGAATAATTGAACGCCGAATTATCGCGGAATACTTTCGATTGACAAATAAATACTGGCGTTATGTATCCGCTCTCTCTTTAATATCTCACTTGTTTCTTCCATCGATTGGTCAGCGTACTTTGTGCTCGGGCCGCGTTTTCCCGCGTGAGTTTTGTCATCGATGGGCGCGCGGGCCGGCGAAACGAACTTACGTCATCATTAACATAATTAATAGGGGGCGATAAAGGGGGCCGCGCATCTGTCAGCTACGTGTCGTAAACAGACGGCCGCGCGAGGCCGACGCTCAAGTTCCTCGGGTTTATCACCGTGTCGGCGAACAGAAGTGCCTTTGTGCCTTGGGAACAATGCTCCGGCCGAGCATTCCGCGAGTTCTCGGCTTTCCATCTTACCGCCGCCGCCGACACAGACTCTCTCCTCCGTCTTTATCTCTCTTTTCCGTCCCGGGTCGCGAGTGAGCGAGCGAGCTCAAGCCAATTAGGACGATTAGGATAATTAGCCGAATTAGCGGACAGGACAGACGGACGGATGTACGCATATACGTACCTGTACACCTGTGGCAGCACTCGTTGTCGGGTGGATCCAGCAACGTGTAACAGCCTTCGATGCTCGGGCACTGCTGCTTCACACATTCCACGAAACCGTTCTGGAAAAAAATAAACGCCAGAAAATTAATTTTTTTTGCATATGACATAAATATCGGCTGTTTTCAAAAAATTCTGTCATTTGTGACAAAAGCATAACGATTTCTGAAACACATCGTGTAAATGGTGAAGATTTTATTCAATTTGACGCGTCAAGATATTTTTCTATCAGTTGCACGCGACGCGACGAGAAATATTTTGCCAAAGATGCAATTTACCATTCGTCCTATATAATTCAAAGTCATGAAACGGCAAGGATGATGACTCGAAGTCGAAATTACCAATTACTACGCAGGCTCTCATCGCGAAGAAGCAGTTTCGTCGCGAGGCGCGTGGAAAGTCGCGAACGCCGTGGCGAAAATACAGACGCGTTAAATAAAACGCGTTATGAATTGGGAATTTTGTCGACGACTGAGTCACACGCCGCAAATTACGCTGGCGAAATTCCGGCTTGACTTCTTCCCTCTTCGTCTCTTTTTTTTATTGAGTCTTGTTCCAATTTCACTTCGTTCGCGTTATCGCGTGTTCCAGTAATTATTTCTCCGGTTCGTTATCGGGTTCCATAATTAAGTCTTTACGATTTATCTTCCGTCAGAATTATGTAAAGTAATTTAACGTGGGTCGGCCGGTCACGTATATAAGGGAGAGAAGGAGAGAAAGAGACGCCAGGCGGACGTAATTAGGCATACCGCAAAAGGAAGCTCTCTGTTTTTAGGCTCTTCGGCCCGACGAGTATTTTTACGCAACGCTCAAAAATTAATTATTCCCATAATTAATGTTTTTTTTTTTTTCAGGCAAGACGCGGTGAAACTATACGGACGCACGAAAGATAACTATACGCGAAAGATAACTATAAACTCGATAAACTAAATACATACCAATCGAAAATTTGTATTCAAAAAGCATGTTGCGTTTTATCTTTCATAATACTTGTATTTTTTTTCTTTTTTTGGCTCGGAACGTCGATCCCATCGTTAGGTCAAACATTACGATAGATGTATGAGACGTCGCGTCACTCTCACACTCTCTTGCTGTGATAGAAGTACAGCGTAAATTAACGCGTCGAAAATCCAGCTGACGATCACAGGGCTCGCCCGGGCGACTTACGATCGTGTCTTGTAAATCGCGGATGATCGATCGAGGCCGATCGATCTCGTCGCTTCGGCGCAACAAACAAATAATTATGTCACACGCCGCCGTCGCCGCCGCCGCCGGTTGCAGCGGTGGCAGCGATGGCAGCAGCAGCAGCAGCAGCAGCAGCAGCAGCAGCAGCAACAGCGGGGCGAAAACAAGAAGCCTCATCTCGGTCGGCCACGAGTCGACGAGTCAATGAACCAAACGCGCAGATAAATCGCCGCGGTCGCGCTAAGATCGGTGCGGTGCGTCGAGAGATGCATCGAGGTTGCGGCGCGTCATAAGATGCACACGCAGTGAACGAGCGAGCGTGTGAGCCGACGACCGGCGCGCGCATAGTGTGTGTGTGTGTGTGTGTGTATGCACATCTTTCTCTCTCTCTCTCTCTTTCTCTTTCTCTCTCTCTTTCTCTGTCTTTCTCTTCTTGTGCGTGTTGCGAGCACGACTATGTGCGACGAATTGATCGAATAGATCGCTCAAAGTGAAGATTCTTCTGTTTGACCTCCCGAACCAGGCCAGTTGCTTTAACCCCTTTAACCAGTCCGTCACACCACATAATATTGCCTCGTCGCGTATGTCCGTCGCGCGATAACGACATTATCTCGCGAATTAGACTACGAAGACGATCACGTAGCCTTCTCTCTTCTTCTCCTCGATCGTAATTCTTTTTTTTTCTCTTGTCTTGCGAGGAGCAACGCGGCGTATCGATTTCGACAGGACAGACTCTCGCAATTCTTAGCCTGTCTCGTCGCAGTCATCACGATATACATGTGGACTTTATGAAAGTGGTGTTGGCTTGTACGTAACAAATTTTTTTCACGATTAGCATCATCTTCATTATAAGAATTTACGCTCAAAGTTTCGCAAAAGCACGAAAGCTTGAAACGTCTCACGTCTCAAATACGATATATAATCAAATGGTTATAAACGGTCACTTTCGTCGGACAGCGGCATTAAATCCAACTAATGGAATATAAATCTTGTAGAAGTACTTTCGGCTTGTCGCTTAAACCACACGGCTCACTTTCTCGTCCCGACGTTACGCGAGATTCTTCCCGGTCCACACATTCAATCATAAATTCTGTCCGCTAGTCGCTTAAAACATCGATTTAACGTTTGACTACGTGCGATTTACCTTACAAATGCAGTTGAAGCACCTCGTATTCGGGATCTTGTCGACAGTGAAATCTTCGCCCTCGATGTCGCAGGTCTCTCGGCTTCCTGCAAATTTAGAGCAAAAATCGTGATGAGAAGAACGGTTATGCGTGACTGATTGACTTTATATCGCGCAATGATACTTTGATGAGCGTGGTAAAGATATATAACTACAATGAACGTTGCAACGCGATCGGCCTTTGTATTCTAGAGAGACTTTCTCATTCTTTCGTACATCGAGGACGTGAGTCGCGCTCATTTCGCGCGAGTTCCAAGTTTTGTCGTTACTTTTCAGAATCACACTTGATTAAAATTATATTCGACAAACGGAGATGATCATCGATCCAACAACCGGTTCTTCTAATCACCTCTTAGTAACAGTAAACGCGATCACTTAATTAACGCGATAGCGCATCTCAAGTTATGAGCAAATTATGTCGCTTTCTCTCCCTCTCTCTCGTTGTATTTAAATCACATTTGAATAAACTTTTCGCGAGTTACACGAATTTTACAACACACATACTAATGGTTTCACTGAACGACACTTCCAAGATGATGATTGTGCGAGGAACGTAAATGGTTTTCGAGTATTCGCAGATAACGTTTTTTCTTACAATTTTCTCACTCATAGCATAGGTAGATTCCCTCATTTCTTCTTCCCCCTACCGTTGGCTATTATCTTTCGATAAGAAATTAAACGCGATGTCATCGTAAACGTACCTTGGGACACGCTAGTCGTAAGACCGTCCGTTTCCCGGCGGAAATCATGTCGCGCTCAGCTGCTAGGTCGACGAAGCCACCATCAACATCCCTCCCGGTTCCCTCGCGCACGTATTCCTGCACACTTTAAGCAACCTTTCTGTTAAACTGCAACTTCGTTCGCGTTTTTCTCTTTCTCTCTCTCTTCTTTTCTTTCTCCTCCCCTCTCGCGCTTTATCAATACTTTCGAGCCATTGATCCGTCTTAAATTAAAAAGAATCCTTCCAGAGCAAGATAAAATACCGCTCTTGACATTTCTTCCATGATCTGTTTCTTCTCTATTTCGTTTTGGATTTGCATTTCGCCCCTTGAGAGAGCGCTTTGCCTACTCTGTCACTGCTCTCGGAGATTTAACGCGTCGTATAGTAACTTTCGAGGCGGCTTCGCTACGTCCCCTTTCAACCCCGGTGTGAGATCATTCGTGTCTCTCCGCGAAAATCTCTCGAGAATCGTGCGAGAGAGGAAAAGAGAGAAAGAGAGAGAGAAAGAGAGAGAGGATCTATCGCAGAATAGTTTTCGATTATGCAACTACGAACACTGCCACTTCCTTTTGGAACGAGAGGGAGGAATGCTCGAAAGATACAAAATATATATTTTTATACCACGCGTTTGGCACTAGGTATAATCGTTCGATTCATGAGCGGTGAGCGTAACGCTCATCATTCTTCTCGATACTCGTCAGAGCGGTATCGAACGGCGATTATTAAAGTGAAAGCGGTTAGTATTGTAACCTAGCCGTCCGTGGATAGGCAATGACATCGCTGGAGAGAAGTCCGCAGAAATTACGCCGCAAAAGCAAGTGGCAGAGACCGCGCAGTAGTCGATCGGAGATCGTTCATTCGTTTGCTCGTTTGTTCATTCGTTCTTGAAATATTACTGTCAATCGTCACATTCACATATTGCTCTCACTAAGCTACTCGAAAAACATCGACGAATCGGTGTCAAAGTGCGCAGGAGTGCGTGTGCGAGGAAGGACGCAGCGTGGCGTTCGCGATCGTTCAAAGCTTCAAAATTTTCTTCTCTTTTTTTCTTTTCTTTTTTTTTTTTGTTCACTTATTCGCCTGTACAATACACACTTTTCTTTCCCGTTCGTCTCACCCACATTCTTCCACACGGGGAAACGTGAAAAGCTCGAAACAGTTTCGCGTCGCAACTTCTTTCTCCGTCTTTCCACGCGATCATGTAATCTCCTCACTTTTTACTGTACATCCCTCTATCTTTCTCTCTCCTCATCTTCATGTGTTTTCCTCTTTCTTTCTTGCGTTCCTCGAACTGGTTGCACGGTTAAAAACTCGGAGAGCAGTCTGTGAAAAGAGCGCAGGACGAGTGGCATAGGAGGTCCTCGTGCCGTTTGTTCGTCCGCTCGTCTTGTCGAGGTTATACACGAGAATTTATACTTGCAGGATATGTTGACGAGTTTAGGATTAATTAGCGGATAGAACGAAGTCGCGCGAACCTAATCGATCTCAGACGGCGTTAAACGCGGCGTTGAGACGACTCGCAGGCGTCGGCGCGGCGTACAGTGGGGTGGAATGAAATTTCATATTTCAAAAACGGCTGCAGCTTCGAAATTTTAACCGATTTCGATGCCTTTTTTTTTATAAAAGTTAATGAAACTTGGAACAATCTTGCGGAGTCAGACTTTTGCTTCCCTTCTTTTAAATCAAACATATGTATATGAAGAAGACAGATTTAGAAATTCTTTTTAACCAAACAGTGTGTGCAGATAACTCATTTCATATTTCATTTAATTTAACATCAGGTATAAATATTATTATTGAAATTAAATATTCAAGCCCAAATTTTAGTAAATAAAAACTATTGATTTAAGTAAAACTAAATTATTATATTATTATATTATGAATTTTTTTATTGATCATTATATTTGAAGTAACAGGTTTTGAGCTTTCGAATCCATTGAAATTGAAAAAAATTTCTTTAGAAGCTATCTAGAAGTTAACTTTATGTCTTGTTTAGAAGAAGCAAAAGACAAAAATTTTACTCGACAAAGTTATTCTAAATTTCACTAGATTTTATTAAAAAAAAAAAAAAAAAAAAAAAAA